AAAAAAAAAGGCTAACAATGGTGGAATGCACTGACGGCTCCAGTTTCTTCCCCTCCAAGTGTCCATGCCCTTGCAATGGTGCTCTGCAGCTCCTCTTGAAGAGCTTGTATCCATCCCTTGGTTCTTGGTTCTGGGGTGGCCTTGAGATTGGCTGTGGTCCATGGGATACTAGCAAATGTGATACAAGCAGAGTTGAAAAAGTGTTTGTACACTGGGTCTTGCCTACTTACAGTGCCCAGAATTGCACAGCCACTTGAACAGGGCTGGGCGAACTGATGAGCTACATGGTCCACTCACCTCCGCTTCCCAGCAGACCTACCTTCTAGCAACCACATATGGTGAGTGAGCCCACCAAGACCAGCATGCCTAGGCCAAACCAGAAGGACTGTCCGGTTCAAATTGCTGACTTACAATAACCTAAAAAAAGGTTATTTTAAGCCACTAAGTTCTGGGGTCTTTTCTTATGCAGTAAAGCTAACTGACTTGCTAGGTTGGGGAAGTTGTCCTGGATAATATCCTGAAGAGTGTTGTCCGACTTGGTTCCATTCTCCCTGTCACTTTCAGGTACACCAATCAAACGCAGATGTGGTCTTTTCACATAGTCCCATATTTCTTGGAGGCTTTGTTCATTTCTTTTCATTCTTTTTTCTCTAATTTTGTCTTCTTACTTTATTTCATTAAGTTGATTTTCAATCTCTGATATCCTTTCTTCTGCTTAATCGATTTGGCTACTGATACTTGTGTATGCTTCATGAAGTTCTCATGAGTGTTTTTCAGCTCTGTCAGATCATTTGTTTTCCTCTAAACTGGTTATTCTAGTTAGCAATTCATCTAACCATTTTTCAATGTTCGTAGTTTCCTTGCATTGGGTTAGACATGCTCCTTTAGCTTGAAGGAGTTTGTTATTACCCACCTTCTGAAGCCTACTTCTGTCAATTTGTCAAACTCATTCTCCACCCAGTTTAGTTCCCTCGCTGGCAAGGAGTTGCGATCCTTTGGAGAAGAAGAGGCGTTCTGGTTTTTGGAATTTTCAGCCTTTTTTTTTTTTTGGCTGGTTTCTCCCCATCTTTGTGGATTTATCTACCTTTGGTCTCTAATGTTGGTGACCTTTGGCTGGGGTCTCTGAGGGACGTCCTTTTTGTTGATGTTGACGGTATTCCTTTCTGTTTGCTTGTTTTCCTTCTAACAGGCCCCTCTGCTGCAGGTCTGCTGGAGTTTGCTGGAGGTCCACCCCAGACCCTGTTTGCCTGGATATCACCAGTGGAGGCTGCAGAATAGCAAAGATTGCTGCCTGTTCCTTCCTCTGGAAGGTTCATCCCAGAAGGGCACCTGCCAGATGCCACCCAGAGTTCTCCTGTATGAGGTGTCTGTCAGCCCCTACTGGGAGGTGTCTCCCAGTCAGGATACACAGGGCTCAGGGGCCCACTTGAGGAGGTAGTCTGACCCTTATCAGAGCTCAAATAGGCAAAAATTTGAAGCATTCCCTTTGAAAACCAGCACAAGACAAGGATGCCCTCTCAGACCACTCCTATTCAACATAGTATTGGAAGTTCTGGCCAGGGCAATTGGGCAAGAGAGAGAAATAAAGCATATTCAAATAGGAAGAGAGGAAGTCAAATTGTCTGTTTGCAGATGACATGATTTTATATTTAGAAAACCCCATCGTCTCAGCTCAAAATCTCCTTAAGCTGATAAGCATCTTCAGCAAAGTCTCAGGATATAAAATCAATGAGCAAAAATCACAAGCATTCCTATACACAGAGAGCCAAATCATGAGTGAACTCCCATTCACAATTGCTACAAGAGAATAAAATACCTAGGAATACAACTTCCAAGGGATGTGAAGGACCTCTTCAAGGAGAACTGCAAACCACTGCTCAAGGAAATAAGAGAGGACACACACAAATGGAAAAACATTCCATGCTCATGGATAGGAAGAATCAATATCGTGAAAATGGCCATACTGCCCAAAGTAATCTATAATCGTGCTATCCCCATCAAGCTACCATTGACTTTCTTCACAGAATTGGAAAAAACTACTTTAAATAGCCCACACAGCCAAGACAATCCTAAGCAAAAAGAACAATGCTGGAGGCATCACACTACCTGACTTCAAACTATACTATAAGGCTACAGTAACCAAAACAGCATGATACTGGTACCAAAACAGATATACAGACCAACAGAACAGAACAGAGGCCTCAGAAATAACACCACACATCTATAACCATTGTTTTGACAAATCTGGCAAAAACAAGCAATGGGGAAAGGAATACCTATTTAATAAACGGTGTTGGGAAAACTGGCTAGCCATATGCAGAAAACTGAAACTGGACCCCTCCCTTAAACCTTATACAAAAATTAATTCAAGATGGATTAAAGACTTAAACATAAGACCTAAAACCATAAAAACCCTAGCAGAAAACATAGGCAATACTATTAAGGACATAAGCATGGGCAAAGACTTGATGACTAAAACACCAAAAGCAATGGCAACAAAAGCCAAAATTGACACGTGGAATCTAATTAAACTACAGAGCTTCAGCACAGCAAAAGAAGCTATCATCAGAGTGAACAGGCAACCTACAGAATGAGAGAAAATTTTTGCAATCTATCCATCTGACACAAGGCTAATATCCAGAATCTACAAAGAACTTAAATTTACAAGAAAAAAACAAACAACCCCATCAAAAAGCGGGTGAAGTTTATGAACAGACACTTCTCAAAAGACGACATTTATGTGGCCAACAAACATATGAAAAATTGCTCATCCTCACTGGTCATTAGAGAAATGGAAATCAAAACCACAATGAGATACCATCTCACACCAGTTAGAATAGCCATCATTAAAAAGTCAGGAAACAACAGATGTTGGAGAGGATGTGGAGAAATAGGAATGCTTTTACACTGTTGGTGGGAGTGTAAATTAGTTCAACCATTGTGGAAGACAGTGTGGCAATTCCTCAAGGATCTAGAACCAGAAATACCATTGGGCCCAGCAATCCCATTACTGGGTATATACCCAAAGTATTATAAATCATGCTACTATGAAGACACATGCACACATATGTTTATTGAGGCACTATTCACAATAGCAAAGACTTGGAACCAATCCAAATGTCCATAAATAATAGACTGGATTAAGAAAATGTGGCACATACATACCATGGAATACTATGCAGCTATAAAAAAGAATGAGTTCATGTTCTTTGCAGGGATATGGATGAAGCTGGAAACTGTCATTCTCAGCAAACTAACACAGGAACACAAAACCCAATACCACATGTTCTCATTCATAAGTGGGAGTTGAACAACGAGAACACACAGACACAGGGAAGGGAACATCACACAATGGGGCCTGTCGAGGGGGTGGGGGACTAGGGGAAGAATAGCATTACGAGAAATACCTAATGTAGATGACGGGTTGATGGGTGCAGCAAACCACCATGGCACGTGTATACCTATGTAACAAACCTGCACGTTCTGCACACATACCCCAGAACTTAAAGTATAATAATAATAAACCTCGAATGAGAGAGAAAAAAAAAAAAAAGCTAACTGATACAAGTACCAGACCAGACAGTGTCCATTTTGAAGATGGGGATGTGTCTTATTCAGTCTTTGTATCTCCTTTCCCTAAAAACACTGTAACCATTCAATATGTATATGTGGAACTGGGTAGAAATGGCCCCTTGAAAAGGCTGCAATTAAACCCCTTTTTCTCAAGGCTACTCAGTCAATCAGGAGGGATTCCAGTGCACCCAGGATTCCACTTCCACATTTTTATAAAATGGGCTTCAAAATACCTACCTTGTCATGCTCTTGTAGTTGTTAAAGATACTGTGTGCTTTAGAGATGTCCCTGACACACAATAGATGGCAGCTCAAGCAGAAACAAGCTTATGGAAAGGCTTTAGAACTCATCAGCATGCACGAGATTGTGCATTTTTTTTTATATCAAACTGGTCACTATGTGTTCAGCCTAAGAGGACTCCAGTTTCAAGTCATCAGCTTTCTCTGTTGCAGAAGAAAGGTTGGTTCCTTCACGCTCCACCAGACATCCATGTGCGGTTCTAACAGTGCCTGGTCAGAGGACTCACGGCGTCCTCCAGGAAAGATGGGCAGGGCTCCTGAGCGGGACTCAGGAATGTGGGTTTTGCCGCTCTGGATTCTGCCACCGCCCATTTCCTTGCGTGTGAAATAAAGTGTGGATGACTGCATGCTCTGTAAGAATCCTTTCAGCTCTAGGAATCCAAGGGCTTCAGTTACCACCAGAGTGTCACCTAAGCGTGAGGGGCTGCACTGCTCACAGGATCACTGAGCCATAAGAGAATTTACATGTCTAGGAGTGGAGAAAAAAAGGTTTTCTGTATTTGTCTAAAGCAGAAAGGCAGAAAAACAGGCCAAAGAATTAGGAAATAATAAAGAGGGAAAAGAAAGCAAGCAAGTCTGATTTGAGCTGGGATGCGAGAACCTTGCTTGCTGCAGGATAACGGAGCTTTACGCTCTGCAAACCACACTCACATGCTCACATGCTGAACCACACATTTGGGTAATTACAGACAAAATTTCAAGGAAAAAAAAGACATACACAAGGAGTTATAAAATGCTGTTGAGGAAGGTTTACACAAAGAGCTGTGAGACATTCGAAAAACTGGTTTTTGGCATTAAGACTTCCTATCCTTTTCTAATAATATCTAAAATGGCTTCCTCCTTTGTGTTGCAGATGCATTTGGAAGTAAATAACAAACACAAACATCATTTATCACAAAGAGCAAAAGACATCTCAAAATTCTGCTTCTTGCCAAAATGGACATGAAATTTTTGCTGGGAAGCAAATGTGAAAATAGTGACTTTTATCTAATTATCCCTACATGTATCCAAAAAGAAAGTTATAACTTATTTTGTCATGCTTGTAATAGGATTTTCTGTCTTGAATGTTGGTATTTTAAACATTAAAATCGCCAATGAGTAAGCAAATAAGACAATTACCAGATGGCATCCTCAACCAAATGTTTTGAATTTATTATAATCGTGCTTCACTACAACTAATGATTCTTGTGGTTTGCAAACAATGTCTGCCTTTATTTACCTACACAAACACAGAAGAGAATTTCCAATAGGAGAGGTTTACACAGCAAACAAAGTATAGAGTGTGTGACCTCAATAAGGCATTCAACGAAGACACACGCCATCCTTCCCTCTGGGTTCCCTTAGGATGCCCTGATGTTGGCGTCGCATTCTTCTAAAAGTAGAATCAAATCTTCAATCAGGCTGTGTTCTCTGCCATGTGTCACTCTCATAATATCAAAAGCCTAAAGAGAAAGGACGGAAGACAGATTAGACCCCAAAATAGGTGAGCTCAGGCCATTCCCCACCTTTACCCCATGATGCCAGGGGCCTGGTGAACCCCATAGGTTTACAGGGTGAACAGTCTTTAATGGGCCCACAGCACTGTGGTTCTCCCAGCTAGAAAGTCACATGACAAGGGTGATTTCTGAATGTGGTGTTTGGAAAGTAGACTATTTGAGTCATGCTTGGGCCCAGTGACCATCGATCTTCAAAGACTGTCAGTGCACAGGTTTGGTGGGTAGTTACAAGGGTAAGAAGAGTTACCAAAACGATTGAGTCATATGGAAGACCATGCTGCTACCACCTGAAAATTTTTCTTTACTGCATACTCCATTCAATTCTCATCTATATGCACCGGGATTATTATATACATGTATTCTTGCATTTTTTTAATATTATACTATAGCATTGGCATTTTGACAGTCCTCTCCTTCACTCCCCATATTTAGTCCATTACTAAATCTTGTCAACTCTATCTCCAAAATATTGCTGAAATCTGTGTGGGCCTAAAACTACTTCAATAATAGAGTACAATAGAAGTAAAGTGACTGACTTGTGAGACTAGGTCAAAAAGGCCTCTGTGTTGTTCACTGGTCAGTATGTTTGCTCCCAGAGCCAAGAGACTCCATGCTGTAAGGAAGCCCAAGCCACACAGAGGGAGGCCGTGTACAGGCACTCTGGCTGGCAGTCTTCGCCGAGCTCATCTTTCAAGGCATTCTAGACAAGGCACCAGACATGTACACAAATAAACCTTCAGACGATTCCAGCACCCAGTTGAAGACTGCCAGATCTGTCTTCCCAGATGGAACACCAGACGTTGTAGAAAAGAAGAAAGCCATTCTTATGCTGTATGCAAATTCCTGACCCACAGAATTTGTGCGATAATTTTGCTGTTGTTCACTCCATTAAGTTTTGGGGTGGTTATGGAACAACAAACGACCAGAGTATCCTCAAAAATACTTTTGTAGGACAAGGTTCCAAGATGGCCGAATAGGAACAGCTCCAGTCTACAGCTCCCCGAGTGAGCAACACAGAAGACGGATGATTTCTGCATTTCCAACTGAGGTACCAGACTCATCTCACTGGGGCTTGTCAGACAGTGGGTGCAGCCCACCGAGCATGAGCCAAAGCAGGACGAGGCATCGCCTCACCTGGGAAGTGCAAAGGGTCAGGGAATTCCCTTTCCTAGCCAAGGGAAGCTGTGACAGACGGCATCTGGAAAATCGGGTCACTCCCACCCTAATACTGTGCTTTTCCAACAGTCTTAGCAAATGACACACCAGGAGATTATATCCCGCACCTGGCTTGGAGGGTCCCATGCCCACGGACCCTCGCTCATTGCTAGCACAGCAGTCTGATAGAACTGCAAGGCAGCAGCGAGGCTGGGGGACGGGCGTTTGCCATTGCTGAGGCTTGAGTAGGTAAACAAAGTGGCTGGGAAGCTCGAACTGGGTGGAGCCCACCGCAGCTCAAGGAGGCCTGCCTGCCTCTGTAGACTCCACCTCTGGGGGCAGGGCATAGCCAAACAAAAGGCAGCAGAAACCTCTGCAGACTTAAATGTCTCTGTCTGACAGCTTTGAAGAGAGTAGTGGTTCTCCCAGCATGGAGTTTGAGATCTGAGAACGGATGGACTACTTCCTCAAGTGGGAACCTGACCCCTGAGGAGCCTAACTGGGAGGCACTCCCCAGTAGGGGCAGACTGACACCTCACACGGCCGGGTACCCCTCTGAGACAAAGCTTCCAGAGGAACGATCAGGCAGCAAAATTTGCTGTTCAGCAATATTTGCTGTTCTGCAGCTTCCGTTGCTGATACCCAGGCAAACAGGGTCTGAAGTGGACCTTCAGCAAACTCCAACAGACCTGCAACTGACAGTCCTGACTGTTAGAAGGAAAACTAACAAACAGAAAGGACATTCACACCAAAACCCCATCTGTACCTTACCATCATCAAAGACCAAAGGTAGATAAAACCACAAAGATAGGGAAAAAACAAAGCAGAAAAGCTGAAAATTCTAAAATCAGAGCACCTCTCCCCCTCCAAAGGAACACAGCTCCTCGCCAGCAATGGAACAAAGCTGGATGGAGAATGACTGTGACGAGCTGGGAGAAGGTTTCAGACGATCGCACTTCTCCAAGCTAAAGGAGGAAGTTCGAATCCATCACAAAGAAGCTAAAAACCTTGAAAAAAGATTTGATAAATGGCTAACCAGAATAACCAGTGTAGAGAAGTCCTTAAATTACCTCATGGAGCTGAAAACTATGGCACAAGAGAACGATGTAATGAATGCACAAACTTCAAAGGCCAATTCGATCAACTGGAAGAAAGGGTATCAGTAACTGAAAATCAAATGAATGAAATGAAGCAAGAAGAGAAGTTTAAAGAAAAAAGAGTAAAAAGAAAAGAACAAAGCCTCCAAGAAATATGGGACTATGTGAAAAGAGCAAATCTATGTCTGATTGGTGTACCTGAAAGTGACAGGGAGAATGGAACCAAGTTGGAAAACACTCTGCAGGATATTATCCAGGAGAACTTCATCAACCTAGCAAGGCACGCCAACATTCAAATTCAGGAAACATAGAGAGCCCCACAAAGCTACTCCTTGAGAAGAGCAACTCCAAGACACATAATTGTCAGATTACCAAAGTTGAAATGAAGGAAAAAATGTTAAGGGGACCAGACAGAAAGGCTGGGTTACTCACAAAGGGAAGCCCATCAGACTAACAGTGGATCTCTCGGCAGAAACTCTGCAAGCCAGAAGAAAGTGGGGGCCATTATTCAATATTCTTAAGGGAAAGAAGTTTCAACTCAGAATTTCAAATCCAGCCAAACTAAGTTTCATAAGTGAAGGAGAAATAAAATCCTTTACAGACAAGCAAATGCTGACAGATTTTGTCACCACCAGGCCTGCCCTACAAGAGACCCTGAAGGAAGCACTAAACATGGAAAGGATCAACCGCTACCAGCCACTGAAAAACATGCCAAAACATAAAGACCATCAATGCTAGGAATAAACCACATCAATTAACGAGCAAAATAACCAGCTAACATCATAATGACAGAATCAAATTCACACATAACAATATTAACCTTAAATGTAAGTGGACTAAATGCTCCAATTAAAAGACACAGACTGGCAAATTGGATAAAGAGTCAAGTCCCATCAGTTTGCTGTATTCAGGAGACCCATCTCACACGCAGAGACACACAAAGGCTCAAAATAAAGGGATGGAAGAAGATCTACCAAGCAAATGGAAAACAAAAAAAGGCAGGGGTTTCAATCCTAGTCTCTGATAAAACAGAATTTAAACCAACAAACATCAAAAGAGACGAAGAAGGCCGTTACATAATGGTAAAGAGATCAATTTAACAAGAAGAGCTAACTATTCTAAATATATATGCACCCAATACAGGAGCACCCAGATTCATAAAGCAAGTCCTTAGAGATCTACAAAGAGACGTAGACTCTCACACAATAGTAATGGGAGACTTTAACACCCCACAGTCAACATTAGACAGATCAACAAGACAAAGTTAAAAAGGATATGCAGGAATTGAACTCAGCTCTGCACCAAGCGAACCTAATAGACATCTACAGAACTCTCCACCCCAAATCAACAGAATATACATTCTTCTCAGCACCATATCACACTTATTCCAAAATTGACCACATAGTTGGAAGTAAAGCACTCCTCAGCAAATGTAAAAGAACAGAAATTATAACAAACTGTCTCTCAGACCACAGTGCAATCAAACTA